GCTTTGGTAACTTTTCGCTTATATTCTTCTTATTCAATTGTAGACTAAGATAACACAAAATACAGTGAAGAAAAAAAAAAGATTATCTCCAAGGACACCATTTCTGAGCTACTTCAATCCTGTTTTCACTTTGCATTGTGACCTAGTAAAGAAAAACAGAGTTTAAAGAAGTTTTGTCTAAAAAGTTGTTCCTACAGAAGTAAGATGGTTTCGGGGAAAGATAGCAAAGGCTATTCAAAGTTAACATAGCTAACAGTGCACCAAGCTGGTAAGCCATTCCTCTTAGTCTAGGTACAACATATGTGACAGGTGAATCACTGCTTTCTACTTCAGTAATTTCTTCCAAATCTATTTTTAGCTCCAGCAAAAACACATTCATGGCAGATACATGTATTATTCACAATATGATTACAGGGCCTATTTACTGCCTTTCTTAAGCCTGGAAAACTTGCATTTTCTACTTGAATCCATGTATTTTGAGGCATTTTCCAGTCAGTTATAACCTGCCTGAGAAGCCCATAATTTATGTGTGCAACATACAGCACTGGACATAACAGGGTCACTTGTTATGCACAAGGCTAAGCACTGAGATCTGGTGGCTGTCACAATATTATCCTTCAGTGGTGTTGGCTATTCTAAATTTTTCACTGCCTGCTACATCTGTGCCACTTTCAGTGTACAGGTCTGAAAGGAAATCCCTCCAGCGCTTCTGTGGCATCTGTCAGGTCTTCACTAATCTACAGAAGATGAGTGTGTGGAGAAACAAGGAGAGGGAGGGGAACACAGAGACACACAGTGTGTTGAAGTCTAACAAAAGGCAGAGACTGATGGGAGGATGCTGTTGCACACGCTCCAAATGAACTCTATCAGTTTCAATGGCATTCAAGCATGCATTCCCGGCATACTACTGCTTGCACCAAAATATGTGTGAAACTCCAATGATTATGCGTGCTGGCTCAGGGCCAGGTTTCAGTGTGACTTCCTGCTCATATTTGCTGCTTTATGGAATCCACCTGCTCAAACTTTAGGAAAATTACGCAAGTCATAGTGGACTAGAACACAAAAAGGGAGGACCCAGATGAATCTAATGAATAATACTAAACAAAGTAAGCACAATAAGGGTGAAAACGGCAAAATATTCCAACCAAAATTAGCCATAAACTTATCCTCATAAAACTTTGGCATTCTTGACCAGAATTGAATAGATATATGCTAAACCATCAGAGGCCATGTTTTAGCCAGGAAAAGTCCCTGTCTATTTAGTGGACATACAGTACAAATTACATTTAGAAACCCTAAACATGCAAGTTGCATTCCCAACACAGAGCTACTCTGGAAAATTTCCAGTGCACATAACAAGCCGCAGAGTTGTTTCATAGTAAACTCCATAAATGTCACCACAACAAATCCTATTTTCTTTTGTGGATGAAAAGGCAGCTATGGTGCACACAGATGTGAGCACGGACAAAGCTAAAGAAGAACTCTATGCTTAAATTATAACGCTAATGTTTTAAAGATTAAAAAAAAACAAAAACAAATGTTGGCTCAAATGCAGCCACAAAAAATAAGAAGTGGCAAGTGGGAACAGAATGGAGCAAGGAGGAAAATAACGAAGTAACAAGGGAAACCCCCTCAGTTTGTGGCAATAAAAGAGTACCGCTGCACTCTGGGAGATTAAATATGAACGGAACAAAACAAAACGAGGGCTTTGAGACCCTCCGAGTCCTAGCCATTCTTCTGGCCACAGTAGCCTAGCAACCGCTGCTTGACCAGTCCATTGTGTAAACGTATGTTAAGCTTTTATCCTCATTAGCAACATTCCTCCCTGCAGGCTGGGATTTTACAGATTAGGTTGAAAAACACAAAGGAGATTGGGCAAATCTTGCTGACTTCCAACATATTACTTTACAGGCTAATCATTGATCAAATAGCTGTATGTTTGCCTGTGTGGAGCATGTGTACACTCCAAGTTGATAAATGACAGACAGAGAGTCGAGTAAAGCTGGAAAAGTTTAGCGTATACTTATACTTGTGCAAGTCCTGGTTTAAACTGAGAGAAGACAATGAAACAGTCTGACAGAACAAAATGTCTCAAAATCAACAACTCAAAACACAACAGAATTAAAAATGACAAAAACTGCACAACAGATATCAAATGCCATTAATGTGGATCAGTACAAATGTTTAGATGCTTTTCTGATTGACCTAAGCACACATAATGCCAAAGCAAACAGACAACTGGGAACATTAGCAGATGCAACAACTTTCCTAAGCTGGATCTCCCCCTCTTTTTTTTGTAACTGGGAAAACAACCCAACACGCCCCAGGGTGCCATTTTTCTATTTGTGTTTAGGAGAGAGTCTTTTGTGAACTTGCTACCCTAGTTCTAAACAAACACATACAGTGCCATCTATTCTCAGTTTATTTAGAGTGCACTTTATATTGACTTCAGATTTTCAGACTTCTGAAAAGTTGACTATTGGCATAATTTTCTGTCTTCTTTCTGTAGGCATTGCTTATTATTGTGCTCTTCATTCAGCTATGTGATAGAGATCTGAGCTATCATGAATTCAGAATTTCATTATACCTCAACTTTGCAGAAACACACTAATCAAAGTCTCCTAATTTTAGTTTAAACGGTCCTCCTTTAATAAAAGCCTATGCTATATCTAGGTCACAGTGAAGTGGCAGGACAAACATAAAGAGTTGCGTTAGCAGCACTGTGCCTGTTTGGAGGAGTCTGTTTGTGTATGTTCACCAAACATCCGATTAGCTCAAACAGTCTAAACAGCAGTTAAATCCTTTCTCTCCATCTGCCCTATAATTAACACAAAGCTTCATCCTAAATAAGACTGCTTGAAGGGTGGGGCTCTTCTACACTGTTCATAACATTTAATCAAGTGTGTCACATGTACAAAAACACATCAACATCATCATCAAACGTATTTCAAAATAATGTGATGATTATGTTTTACTGAAGGCTACGAAAGCTAGTAACTTAATTCTTCTTACAGCTATAGTCCAAATTATTGTTAATAAGTTAACAGTATCCATAGGCAA